GATATGTATTATTTTCAAGTTTCTACTAACTAGGTATATTAAACGCTTTTAGTTTTATGTAATTAATTTCTTGAATTTGTGGTGGTGTTTGAAGATAGATTTCAAACAAACGTTTTTTTAAAAATAATTTAATATACTTAGTCTGGCCATAAATACTGTTACAATTAAAAATAAACAAAATATTACATTTAAATTTGGAATCTGTAATTTTTTATGATTGCTCATTGAGTTTTCTCATTTTGGCGCCAAAACATTGTACAATATTTTGCGATATTAAAATGGAGTGGGGTTATAAAGAGAATAGAATCGCTGTGATTGCATTACACAAAGTAGGTATGGAGCCAAATGCCAATAGGAAAATGTTTGTGTACCGGGCTATTAATAGTTGCAATGAGACCTCCTCTGTTTGTGACAGAAAAAGATCTGGCCGTCCACGTAATGTTCGTACGAAAAAGGTGATCAAAGCAGTAAGGGAAAGAATTCGAAGAAATCCTGTCCGAAAGCAAAAGATTTTATCTCGGGAGATGAAGATTGCACCTAGAACCATGCCGCGTATTTTAAAAGATGACTTAGGACTTGCAGCGTATAAGAGACGTACTGGTCATTACTTAACTGATAATTTAAAAGAGAATAGGGTGGTAAAATCGATACAACGCAACGTGGGCACTATCCGACTTCAGTTATGGTTTGGTGGGGTATTATCTATGAAGGAGTGACTGAGCCATACTTTTGTGAAAAAGGTATCAAAACATCGGCACAAGTGTTTCAAGATACCATTCTTGAGAAAGTAGTGAAGCCCCTTAACAACATCATGTTCAATAATCAAGAATGGTCCTTCCAGTAAGACTCGGTGCCAGGTCATAAAGCTCGGTCTACGCAATCTTGGTTGGAAACGAACTTTTTGGACTTCATCAGAGCTGAAGACTGGCCGTCGTCTAGTCCCGATCTTAATCCGCTGGATTATGATTTACGGTCAGTTTTAAAGAGGACGGCTTGCTCTAAGCGCCATGATAATTTGGAGTCCCTAAAACAATCCACACGATTGGCAGTGAAAATTTTTCCCATAGAAAGAGTGCGTGCTTCTATTAATAACTGGCCTCAACGTTTAAAGGACTGTATTGCAGCCAATGGAGACCACTTCGAATAAGCTTTTTATACTTTAAATTGTTTTATATTTATGTATTAAACTAACACACTGTAAAAGTAATAAATGTTATTTGCCATACAAATTTTTATCTTTTCCTTTGTCTCAGTATTTATGGCAAGACTAGATATATAATATGTAGCTTTGAATAAAAAAATAGCATAGAAAGCACAATATTTGCACGGCCTTAGGGCGCCATCACCATCAAATCCGACTAGTGTAGAAGATTCCTATTTAAAAAATTTCTCTTCCTGGCCTCATCTACTACTTCATTACTGAGGGTCGCAATACACCAAATGAGAGATGAATTTCTCTTTGATGAAGACGATGATAATGCTATTTCATGCTATTCATCTATGAATGAAATGAATCGAAGATAATAATGCGAAAAAAAATGGAAGAATTTTTTATTTCTCTACAGACTTAAAAGATCTGGTAAGTAAATAATACCTATCATATAAATATATATATTTTTAAAATTTATAACAGAGTTTAATATTAAACAAAGATTATTCATTGTACTTGCTTATACCCGATCCTGTAGACCGAATGGTAAACAGGCGACGTCGCACAAAACACGTCATTACAGATCCACCCGATCCATTAACGCTGCTTTTAGGTACCACAAGTACCGGTCACCGTCCTCGTCGAACCCGTCGCTTGCGACGAAGGGCTCAACGAGCGAATTAACCCATAGACACAGCCTACTGATTTTCTCGCGGGATCTTCTCAGTGAGTCGCGTTTCCGATCCGATGGGAGATTCTGCGAAGCACTGCTCTTGCTAGGGCTAGTATTAGCAACACTCGATGTTTGAGCCCCGTGAGCTCACCTACACGTCAAGGCGAAGCTGAAACAGCCTTTCAAGGCTATCAGCATAGGTAGGAAAAAAAAACATTGTATTTGTATGAACGAGAAGCGAGATAAAGACCAGGTGTTTGGATTTATTAACTACCTGGTACTTGGGTTTTTACCTGAGCAATTGTAATCGAGGTATTGTCCATATTTTTTTGTGTGTTTGGATGGTACATACATTGTACCTGCAACTCCTACAACATTCACTTTGAATTAAAAACTATAGAGGAACTTGGGTCGTTTTGGCTCGACTAGTTTTTTTCTTTCTTTCGAATATACATTAAGCTGCGCTTTCAATACATAAGTCCTATTATTGTTAGGTACGTCTCTTGTTACCCTTATTCTACAAGATGGAGTCGGCGCAACATTTCAAATATAGTGTGATATAATTAAACAACCGACTACTGAACTAATTTTTCTTCTTAATTTTTTCAGTATGGCAATCGACACTTTGTTTTTTTTTCTTTCCTAACTATTTTGATTGCTTAAGGGGCTATTCCAACTGCGTGCAGACGGGTAGGTGAGCACACGGGCCCAACCTGAGAGAGTTTGTTAACACTAGAGCAGGGTTTCGCCGACTCTACCACAGGATCGGAATCGCGAACCCACTGAGAAGATCCGGCGAGAAACTCAGTGGGCTGTGTCTATGGGAGATCTTGCCATGACGTTGTTGCCAGTGTCGAGTTAATATAGTCTTTTATTATTATTACATACCCACACATACTTTGATAAATGATGATTTGAAAAATGAATTCCCAAATGAATTCCGCCTAAAATTATCGAACTTCTGTCAAACAGTATCGCATTTGATGATGAAGACTGCTTAAGCCCGTGCTAATTTGCCACTTTTTTTTATAAAATTATTACTATTTTTTTATCTGTGTTTGTTTTTTGTCCTTCATTCACGTTGACAAGAAGCAACTGATTGACGTACTTTTTTAAAGTTATAGTTTTAGGTGGGATAGGCTACTTTTATTCCGAAAAAAAATCGCATTCCCACGGGAAACTGTTTTAATAATTGAATTATTGATTCATACTTCTTTATTGAGCTTCATCCATGTGGTCAGGATGAAGCTGCGGGTAGCTGCTAGTGATAAATAAAGTGTAATATTGCAATTTTGTAAAAAAAATGTTAAGATATTAGAACCAAGTGTGAAAAAAATAGGAATATTTAGGCCATTAAATAGGCCATTAACAAAATACCTGTTTATGTTTGGCTTTAAACCAACCGGGCGAAAATTTAAGTTTACAGTCGCCCAGCAACTGTTTTTGGAGACCGTCACATTTTAGCGCCGCAAGCTTAAGGCTGAAGGGCTTAAACCCAAATCCGCCACAACCTAGCATAGCCTCACTCCATGTATTCCTGTAATTGCATTATGAGGGGTTCAACGGAAAATGTCCAGCTGCGTAATTATTAAAAAATTGTTGTAATAGCATAAGACCATTGCCAATCCGTACCTACTGGTGATTTTAAGCTACATCATGGTAATTCTGTCACAAAGGTCACAAAGTATTATCCGTTTCGGTATGAAGAACCTCAACCTCGTGTCTCAAGAGGAGAGGGTATAACACACTAGGTGGATTGTGTGGAAAAATCTAAAGACAAATAACATAACTTAATAAATTAGGTAATTAATAAATAAAAAGATGCACTAATTTACGGCCTCAAATAATAATGTTAGTGTATAATATGGTGGCTACAATATATACAATGAACCCTTTCTAATTTATTAACCAAATGGTACTTTTTCTTGTTTGATTCACTTTGAGTTTTTCTTTAGCTGGCGCCCTCTGTTTTTTGAGACAATATGATAGCACCAAGATTGCAACAAAGGTAGTTTCGAAATGCATCAATAGGTGGACATTTGAAATTTCACATTCTCAACAGTTTTTTAATGGATATTCTCACAACATTTGATATAGTCACTACTCGCTCAACGTTAGCATAACTCACTAGGTTACTAGTTAGGTAGGAAAAAAAATTACTCACTCAAAAATATCAGATTTTCTATATTTTCCTGTTTGGTTCGTTTCTAAAAAATTAAATAATCAGAAATGATGTCTGTCGGTCCAAAAACAGATGTCACTGTTTTACAAAAACCATTGCTGCTGTACAGGAAATCATTGCTTTTAAATGCTGCTTTTTTATGTAAAATTAATATTTAAATGAATGGTAGGTGGTAGGACCTCTTGTGAGTCCGCGCGGGTAGGTACCACCGCCCTGCCTATTTCTGCCGTGAAGCAGTAATGCGTTTCGGTCTGAACGGTAGGGCAGCCATTGTAACTATACTGAGATCTTAGAACTTATATCTCGAGGTGGGTGGCGCACTTACGTTGTGGATGTCTATGGGCTCCAGTAACCACTTAACACCAGGTGGGCTGTGAGCTCGTCCACCCATCTGAGCAATAAAAAAATAAAAAATAAAATAATTAAATATTTTTTGGTAACTTTTGTAAAGATATTCATTTATTAACCTGTAGAAAATATTTTTTACATATTATAACTTTAAACCACTAAGTGAATCCAACATTAAATTTATTACATTTAAAAATACGCGCTATTGGAATTGCAAATGCATTGCATTTGTTAGTGCCTAGTATTGTGGTAGCATTACTTAAACTTTTAGTATTAATTTGATCAAGCTGTGCGAAATGTTTTATTTTGTTAGTTCAGTAAATCTTAGGCACAATAATAGAAGGTTTTGAATTATTCATATATGTGAAAGTGCATAAGTGTTTTTCAAAAAATTATAATTGGTGGATGTGGCTTGTCACGTTCTTTCAAATACTCCTTTGAAATCTTAGTAATTTTTTACTTACAGTTTTATTTTACCATATCTCATCTATTTCACTTTTGTTTGATTTCAAATTCAATTTAATTATTCATACAACAGATATGACTTCCATTTACGTTACAAAATAGTTAATGTATGGGCTAAGCTTCCTTTGCTTCTTCAAAGGACGTATTAAACACGAAACAATGAAGTCTATGGTCCTTGTTGTAAGTTGTCAAAATGGCACGTCATCAGCAAGATGTTGATGAACTTTTCGATGTAAAAAATGCATTTTATGTTGGAAATTATCAGCAAGCTATTAATGAGGCACAAAGCGTTAGCGTAAGTCATCACTAAAAACTTTCTATAACCATTAAATTATTATGCAAGTGTTTAATTAAGCGCTCTTCGGTGGCGGATAAACTGACCATGTTTTTCGATATAAATCTCCGAAAACAATACATGTTGTGTTTGTAGATTAATATTATACAGATCTACTTAACTTTAATCTAATTTTAGTACTTGAAGAATAACTTAACTGTCGAAATATGAACATAATTGTCGAAATATTATTACAAGAAATTTCACCCTCGTAGACAGAAATTACACCATAAACGAGAAGGATATTAAAGAATTTACACTTTTGTGCATTGAAAGTGTGAAATTATTGATCCTTCTGTCATGCCAATGGTAAAATCATCATACAGCTAAATTTATTGATTTACAACACCTCTTGCAGCCTTCTACACCCCTGGTAGCACTCCAACGCGATGCATTCCTATATCGTTCCTACATTGCCCAGGGTAACTACAGGATAGTGCAACAAGAACTAAAGACTGCAGATCCTATGCTACAGCCATTGAAGAGTTTGGTAGATTACTTACTACCTGATGCCAATAAATCTGCCATTGTCGCTGATATTGATGCTCGAGTATGTAATTATAAAAAGTTACTTATAATGTATGTCAGTGCTTGTTATTACATTGAAAAAAATGCTCAGAACTAATAGAATTTGAGCAGGGAAATATACATGTTAGCTATGGAATTTAGACTTGTAATTAGAGTTGAAGAGTATTAAATACAGTTGTATATTTTTAATATTAACTTGGCTAAAACAACAAAATCCTAACTGTACTTATGATATTGTAGGTGGCTAAAGGTACGGAGCTGTCCAATGAAATATTCTTGATTGTGGCTGCAACAATTTACTATCATGAAGATAATTATGAAGCTGCATTAAAGTGAGTAGTGTATTACAATAATAAATATTCTCAGATGGCTGTAGTGCTAGCACTACAAGTAGGTATAGATCCCTTGGTAAACCTGCTCATTTAACTCATTGAAGAATTTTACATAAATTGTAACCCATACATCAGCTCACTTTCTTGGTGGATCTTCTCAGCTGGTCACGATTTTTGTTCAATAGAATAATTGTAGATGCATTATTGAAGCAATTGCCCCTGAACTGATAGGTCTCCTGTGGAGGCGCTGGAGCAGCTGTTACCAAATCCCACCTCTCTGTGCTGAGCCTGTTTTCACCCACTATTCTGGTTATACTGAAAATACTTTAGAGCCATTTGTATTCTAAAAAAAATATTAAATTTAAAACAAATTCTACTACTCATGAGAAAGAACATTTAGGGTAGGTCTACAATATAATATATACACAATAATACAAATAAAAATATATACACAAAATTGTCTTGAAATATATCCTGACATATGTGTTAAAACTTGCAATTGAGTTAAAGGAATAATAGCTGAATGTAAATTTTATAGAATCCTTCATAATGCTGAATCGCTGGAACTAAGAGCGTTCACACTCCAGTGCCTACTGGCTATGAATAGACCAGACCTTGCACGCAAACAACTGAAGTTGCTGCAGGACATTGAAGATGACGGCACTTTGACGCAGCTAGCACAAGCATGGCTGAATCTAATTCAGGTGACTTCAAATTGTTTTTGGTGATATATGATTTTGAAGGGTGACTTGTAACATTTCGTTCATATTATTCATCACAAACATTTCATGGTTGAATTTAATATTTAAATCAGTGACATTCAAAGTCCATTTTATTTTACCTGTGGTGTGACTGATTATCGTTTCTCTGTTATATTACGGATTATATTTTGAGGATCTTAAACATAATAAGAATATGCAAGTAGCGTCCAGACTTTCTTCTACTTCTGTGTCTTTGTGTTTACAGTAGCAATAACCTTATTTAATTTCCTACCAAACACACTAATTCTTACACCCAGATCCTCCTAATGTAAGACAATACTTATGGTAGCGGAGGTAGACCATCCTGTATGTATGCTGTATTTACAGTCAAAGTTCTATTGTGATGCTTGCCTAATATATTTTAAACTATTTTTATTTTCAGTGATGTTGATGAGCATTTAAATTCAAAGTGCATTTGTAGGTTGGATCAATGGATATCATAGACACGCATTAATTAATATAGTTAAAATTTTGATGTTTTTTTCTAATATCTTAGTATAGTTACAACGGCTGGGAAGGGTGGGGCCTTTCAAACCGAAACGCATTACTGCTTCGCGCCAGAAATAGGCAGGGCGGTGGTACATACCCGTATGGACTTATAAGAGGTCCTATCACCAGTAAAAAAGTTGTTTGCAGATTAAACCAGATGTTTGCAGATTAATGTAAAGTTTCCATTGTACAGGGCGGCCCTGGTATCCAAGACGCACACTACAGCGTGATGGAGTTATCTGAACGCCTCGGTTCACTGGGACCTGGTCCGGCCTCTCTCGGTGCTGGGGCTGCAGCGGCCAGAGGTCAACACTGAAATGATTATCTCTATAATTTTAAATAACTTATACGATCACAGCTCCCAGTCCTCATTAACCCTTTGACTGCCGTGTAGGTCACCGGTGCCCTACGCGGCGCACTGAAATAATTACGTCGCTTTCTGCTATTAAGCGCCTGGTTTACCTAATTTTGCCTTCTTTTGTTTGTTAATGTATGTTTTAGACTTTTAGTTCTTTTAAAAAAAATAGATTCATTCTCAGTATTTGCGGATTGGTCATTCCCAAAGTCTACTAAGATTCCGGCGCCGTAGTATGTAGATCGAGGAGATAAATCGTCATAATGACTTCAGTGCGCCGCGTAGGGCATCGGTGACCTATGTGGCAGTCAATGTGGTAAGAGCCAGTAAAGTGTGACAAGAATAATATACCGTCAACTGTGGTGTTTTACACACAAATATGGGTAACCCGCCATTGTTTAACATTTTAAATAGATACAGTAGTGGAACCAATATTTGCAGGTTAAAAATGATTGGTGGTGCGATGACCTCCGAATGGTGGCCGTCAAGAGGTGAATGAGGAGAGCCAAAGACCGGGCTCAGTGGTGTGGATTGGGAGAGGCCTATGTCCAGCAGTGGACGACTGTGGGCTGATGATGAAGATGATGATAATGAAAAATAAATAATAGTTTAAAAAAACTAACAAAATACGCTTTTATAGAAAATCCAACTAAAAAATAGAAAATAAATCTTAATAAATTCGAATTAAAAATAGTGTAAGAAAATATGATTTTATTGTAAAAAATGCGTGGGGTGCATGGTATCAGTAGTTATAAATATTTTATGAACAGATATTATGAGTAGAAGAAGGGTTATTTTGATAATATCCTGAAAAGCACCCCACGCTTTTTACAATAAAATCATTTTTTCTCAAAATTATGTTCAAAGATTCCATTACAAACATACATACACACGTCTGAAGCTAATAAAAGCGTATTAAAAATGTCCTATATGTTACTGATGAGACAAGTGACCGGTAAAATGTGTTGTGTAAGGGTAGTAAGATACGTTGCAATGTGCAGGTATGTGGGAAGAGGCTGAACAGCAACTGACAGACGCAGCGTCCCGCGCCCCACAGCACGCCGACCTGCTGCTCGGCCTTGCGCTCACCGCGGCGCATCTCGGGAAACCACCGGAAGTGAGTCCACTGTTTGTTGTTATGGAGGTATACTATAAAGGAAAGATCTTCCACCGAGTGGGTGATATTAGACCGTGAGTCCGTTTTTTTTTCATACCTAAGCTGATGGTTTTGAGAGACCATTTTAGCGTAACCTTAACTAGTAGGTGAGCTCACGGGACTCAAACTTGACGTCGTTTCTAACACTAGACTTCGCAAGAGCCGTGTTTCGCAGAATCTTACTGGTGGTAGGACCTCTTGAGTCCGCATGGGTAGGTACCACCACCCTGCCTATTTCTGCCGTGAAGCAGTAATGCGTTTTGGTTTGAGGGGCGGGACAACCGTTGTAACTATACTCGAGACTTTAGAACTTATATCTCGAAGTGGATGGCGCATTTACGTTGTAGAGATCTATGGGTTCCAGTAACTACTTAACACCAGGTGGGCCGTGAGCTCGTCCACGCATCTAAGCAATAAAATATCTACCACCGGATCGGAAACGCGACCCACTGAGAAGATCCGGCGAGAAACTCAGTGGGATGTGTCTGTGGGTTAGGATGTTCGACATGCGTCGTGCTGACACGAGTAACGCTATCTATTGATAAATTAGTTATTAGTTACGTCATTTACACAGCACTATTACTGTCAGCACGATTACACGTTTCGATATTTGTTTTCGCTATTTGAAGCCCTGCTCTTGCTATGGCCAGTGTTAGAAACGTCGTCAGGTTAGAGCCCCGTGAGCTTACCTACTAATTCTGCGAATCTACTATAACAGCTTGAGGTTAGGCATAGGCAGAAAATAAAAAAAAAAATTGAATATTTTTTTTTATTGCTTAGATGGGTGGACGAGCTCACAGCCCACCTGGTGTTGAGCGGTTACTGGAGCCCATAGACGTCTACAACGTAAATGCGCCACCCACCTTGAGATATGAGTTCTAAGGTCTCAAGTATAGTTACAACGCCTGCCCTACCCTTCAAACCGAAACGCATTACTGCTTCACGGCAGAAATAGGCAGGGCGGTGGTACCTACCCGCGCGGACTCACAAGAGGTCACATCCCTAAATACTGATCGTTTTGATATCCGTTTTGCTATTTGACGATAGATGGCGTTACTTGTACCGTCATAATTCCCTTTCCGTTTCACAGGTGTCGGCCCGGTACCTAGCCCAGCTGCTCGACAGCCACCCCCAGCATCCGTTCGTGAAGGAATACAAGGCTAAGACGGACGAGTTCCAACGTCTGGCCGCGCAATACCAACCCTCAGTGGCTAGTTAAACGCATGGTGTATATGTAATACGCAACTATGTAAACGTATTAAATATGTGTATTAAAACGTGTTAAATAAAGATTTATTCCATTTTATTAAATAGAGTTTTATTGGCTAAACGAATGCACGGCTTCTCTTTTATATATAAATGACTAGCGACCCGCCCTCGCTTCTCTTCGGAAACTGTAATTTATTATTGATTTCTCTACTATTTAATGGATGTTATTATACATATAAACCTTCCTCTTCAATCATTCTATCTATTAAAAAAAACCGCATCAAAATTCGTTACGTAGTTTTTAAAAGATTTAAGCATACATAGGGACAGAAAGCAACTTTGTTTTATAGTATGTAGTGATTACATCATTGATTTTATAGAACTAAAGCGATTCAAAAGATTAAACTATATTGTCTAATTTTGCAAATGAATTCTGGAAGTTTGTTAAACTTTGTGTTTTTATTTAGAAAATGACTGAGACACCAGAGGTGATGTGATGTCTTTACGTTATATTAAATTAACTGCATTACGGATTCGACGCACACGCCATCTATGTAAATTTTATGACACTCGCAGAACCCTACGGAATCTTACCATCAATAATTTAATAAAGCCAGTTAGAATTATCTACCGAGGTGATCGAATGTTAACAAAACACAAAACAATAATTTTAAATGTAGAATAACAGATATATTATTCTAGAAAATACACAGATAAGTAACTGCTAAAAGTGAGAGAATAAAATATTAGAATTTGCAATTTTTTGGCCTTTCTAGTGATCTGTGGAGATTATTCAATTTTGTCTAATGTGTTTTATACCTACGACGCCCTATGTAAAATAATCTTACAAAACGCTAACAAGTGACAAAGGTTTTGAGAAATTTGATTCGCTGAAGTTATTTTTATGCTGACTGTCAATTTTCAAAATTTTAGTAGGTTTCGGATATTAAGTGTATTATATTCTACATATGTTTCGGCATAGCGTGGCGAACTATTACTTCTAGGCTTATAATTTTTCGAATATTAATGTTGATATCGGCATACGTTATCCAAACCACATTGTTGGCTTCAGTGTCCTTAGTACGAGTTTTTTAACGTTCTCGATAGCGTAAAAGTTAGCTTATGGAATGGGATCGTTTGCTTACGTTTGCCGCTAGGGGCGCTGTTCCAACTGTATACCAAATTGGCTTAACTTTTACGCTATCGAGAACGTTAAAAAACTCGCACTAAGCATACAGGATGCTTACCTAAAGTATTTACCTCCTTTCGACTTAAATTTTCAATTGCATTAAAAAAAACAAAAGAATATATTTTTAAATAGTTACTTTATTTTATGCACCCCTAGTAGAAGCTGTAGTCGTAGTCATTCTCAGTTTCCTCCTCATCATCAATCTTGGAGGAGTTTCCGGTCACGTGGTACTGCCGTAGCCTCTCCAGCGCCTTCATGTCGTCCATGAGGCCCAGCGGCAAGTCTTCAAGGTCATTGTCACCTTTCACCATTGACCAGTCAGTTGTTGAATCGTGGCGTATTTCTCCCGTACGACCTGCAAAAATATACATATTTTTGAAGATTTCTTACCGAATTTTTAGAGATAAGAATATTATATTTCAATGTTGATGTATTATAGTGTAATAGTATATCTAATAGAGGGGTGAAAGGCTTAAGTGACATTTAGTGAAGTGGTTTAAGTAACATTTCGCTTAGCACTCGACAATTTATCTTTGTAATGAAAAGTCCGGTATTTTTTCAAATTTAAATGGCTCTCCTGTAAAGTTTCACGTCATTTCGGATCCTCCCGATCCACTAACGGCGCTTTTAGATACCTCAAGCACCGGTCACCGTTCTCGTCGAACCCGTCGCTTGCGACGAAGGGCTCGTCGAGTAAATTAATCCTCAGACACAGCCCACTGAGTTTCTCGCCGGATCTTCTCAGTGGGTCACGTTTCCGATCCGGTGGTAGATTCTGCGAAGCACGGCTCTTGCTAGGGTTCGTGTTAGCAACGTCGTCAGGTTTGAGCCCCGTGAGCTCACCTACTAGATAAGGTTACGCTGAAATAGCCTCTCAAGGGTATCGGCTTAGGTAGGAAAAAAAAAGTAAAGTTGTAAAAATGTCACTTAAACTAGCCTTTCACCTCTCGGTTCATTGATAAATTACATTTTATCAGAGGGCAGATAATATGGTGATTTTAGTTTAATGTCTCTATATTATTAAAATATTGGAGCGACTCGAAATTACAGTATATAGTGTATTAAAATTTTAAAGAATAATAAATTACATCTTATTTGGAGTGAATGTTGCAAAGCGACTTGGTTGAATTAGCATAGTTTACGCTAAGTAAGGGTAGATGGCGTTCTTGCGGGATAAAGGTCTCCAAACAAGCTCAAGTTGATAAATGCTGGGTACATACATAATTAGTCTGCGATTGAAAGCGACTAACCTCGAGAAGATATTTCGACGGGGCTTGCAACAGATGGCGCCGTGTACGCTTCTAGCTCCTGTTCGGTTCTGCTGTCCCGGTCAATTTTCTCCTGCTTGCGTTGGCGGCGCCAAGCCTTTTGGAGATTGAATCGTTCCGGCCTTTTTAACAAATTTTAAATAAAGCAATGAACAATTTTTTAAGGGAATAATTCATTTGTAACTATCATTTAAGTACACAGCAAGGGGCATGAGATAGGAATGGTTGCAAATTCTTGTATTATACTTATTGATTTGGGTGAGTATTTTTAAGTTATTTAAAAATTATAATTAAATTATAATTATAATTTGTAAATTTATATTTTGCAAAATTATAATTTGCGTAATTACTGGTGGTAGGACCTCTTGTAAGTCCGCACGGGTAGGCACCACCGCCTTGCCTATTTCTGCCGTGAAGCAGTAATGCGTTTCGGTTTGAAGGGTGGGGCAGCCGTCGTAAATATACCTTAGAACTAATATCTCAAGGTGGGTGGCGCATTTGCGTTGTAGATGTCTATGGGCTCCAGTAACCACTTAACATCAGGTGGATTGTGAGCTCGTCTACCCATCTAAGCAATAAAAAAAAGTTTTAAATAAGAATAATACATACTTTTCTCCGTCTTTGTAAACGCGCGCCTCAATGTTCTGTATGTCATGCCTTACATCCGCTAGCATAAGAAGCATCAAGTCGAGGGATCCTTTAGGACCACGTGCGCCTCGAGGTCCTCTCGCTCCAGTATCACCTTTGGGTCCCTCCATGCCCGGCGGTCCTTGTGGTCCCTAATAAAATTTAAATATCACATCATCATGATATTCGTTACGTCATTTATGTCGAAACTTGTACCAGGACGACATAAACGCTAAGAGATCGAACGCTCATGTCAAACAATTTGTATTACCCTCGGTCCTCGCTCGCATCGACAATACCCGCCTTCCAACGGAGCCGTTGCGTCAAGTACTCTATATGCGTAATTGCCTTCGCCACCTGAAAATTTACGCTATTTTTTAGTTTCAAAAATGCAGTATTCATATCTTACAACAATAAAGGTCATCGCGATTAAAATGCTTATCAACTTTTTTACTCGTAGTACTTATACAAATTCGTAGTTAATTGTAATTTTTTTTTTATTTATTTATTTATTGCTTAGATGGGTGGACGAGCTCACAGCCCACCTGGTGTTAAGTGGTTACTGGAGCTCATAGACATCTACTACGTAAATGCGTCACCCACCTTGAGATATAAGTTCTAAGGTCTCCTACAAGTACCTATAGTTACAACGCCTGCCCTACCCTTCAAACCGAAACGCATTACCCGCGTGAACTCACAAGAGCTCCTACCACCAGAATTTTTCACTTGAATTTTGTCACTTGCCCCTTTAATATTACAAAATTTATGTAAAATTTTTGTAGGGCACATCAACTATGATAAGATTTTTTTTAGCTTCCCTATTCCTAGTTCTCGATAGCGTAATAGTGAGCTCATATTTGTATGGAATGAGAATGATATTCCTAGTAACCTCGAGGGGGGGTTAAGCTAGCTTCACTGAGGACTTTTTGGCGGGAACGCGAAGAGTGAAGTTGTGTGATTTGTTTTATTTTATCTATTTAGTGTTTCTTCAGGTTTAAATGTGTAATAACGGTGGTTTATTAACTGTTTAATATCTGTGAAAGTGCACAAATGTGGGAAAATAAAACAAAGCCGCTGGACGTAACTTCTCGGGATCTTCCGAAAAGTCCCCTGAATAAATCTCAGTAAATTACCACTATTTTACTGAGATTATATTTCATCCCATATCATCTCATCTCATCTCATTTAATTTCATCCCAGTTGATTAATGTCTCAAATTAATCATCTTTATTTCATTTAATTTCATTCCAGATTATCATTTTTCATAAAAATAAGAATATAAATTAAAATAAAACATGACCTAAAAGTCTTAGTTACCAGGTCATAAAATCGCTTAAAAGGCTCAGCGTGGGAGCTTTGCTTCTGCCTTAACAAGAAGATAAGATATTTTCTGTTGTTTTAACGACGAAAACCGATACAAAATCTACACTTGACCTCCTTTTAAAGCAAACACAATGTACCAGGCGCACATAACTGCAAAGGGCTCACCGTCATCTTTCAGCATAGGGTGCTCCAACAACTTTTTTAAGGCGGCGTGGGTTGCGTGCAATTGATCGTTCAGCTGTCTCACTTTCCTAGTCAACCACGTCACAGTGTCACACGGCGCGTAGCATCGAGAGGAGGCGCGCACAAGTGGAAGAGGTTCCTGAAATATTCAATAAAAAATCCTGCGACTTCACGAAAACCAACTAAAACTTTTGATGACTTTTTTCCTGCCTATGCTTATAGCCTTGAGAGGCTATTTCAGCGTAACCTTAACTAGTAGGTGAGCTCACGGGCCTTAAGCCTGGCGAAGTTGCTAACACTGACCTAAGCAAGAGCAGTGCTTCGCAGAATCTACCACCGGATCGGAAACGCGACCCACTGAGAAGATCTGGCGGGAAACTCAGTGGGCTATATCTGTGGGTTAGCTTACTCGCCGAACCCTTCGTCGCAAGCAACGGGCTCGAAGAGAACGGTGACCGGTGCTTGAGATACTTAAAAACACCGTTAGTGGATCGGAAGGATCCGAAATAACGTGTTTTGGGCGACGTCGACTGTTCACCATTCGGTCTGCAGGATCGGGAATGCAGTATTTAAGTTTTGTATATAAACGTACTGCAATAGCCAGCGGTATCCGTGGGACACAATTCTTGCCATCACTAGCTAGTGAGAGCGGCGGTGAGCATTCGCAGTGGAAGCTTCCAGGATCATTGACGCAGCGTTGTTCACACCCACCGTTGTTCGTCGCACACTCGTCTACATCTGCAATAAATATATAATTGATTGTAAATCTTTCATTTTATGGAACTCAAGTATACAATTAACATTTTAAAGAAATAAATAAAACGCCTTAATTACACTATTTAGTGTTTTCATCAATAATATTTTATACCAAATATAGTAATAATTGAGGGGGAGAGATTGAAATTTAAATAAGCCAAAAATTAACTAAACAGTAACAATTCACTTCCACATTATATATATTAGTTCTATCTTCAGTCTCACGTCCTTTTTAATTTTACCACTTTATTTCAATGTACAGATAAACCGAACTCTTCTGTTTTACTGTACGTATTGAGAGCAGGATGGCGTTTATGATAAATCAAAATAATAATGATAAATTTTGTTTATTTTTCTTCTTATCTTTTTCCACCCCTTTCCTTCTCTTGATTATACTAATTAAATAGTCATCCGATTCTCAATTATGTACAGTAGGAAGTTAGTTTAAAATAAAAAAAAATTGTACCCAAAGTGACATCACATAGCAAGCTAGTGACACATTGTTTGTAGGCAGCGGCTTGGCTCTGCCCCTGGCATTGCTGAAGTCCATGGGCGTCGGTAACCACTCACCATCAGGTGGGCCGTATGCTCGTCTGCCTACAAGGGCAATAAAAATAAAAGAGAAGGAATGAACTGGATATCCGCGTGTGGCCTTCATACCAACACAATACGGCTGCTCTTGCTTGGAATAGCTTTCCGCGTTGAACTGGAACCCAGGGTAGCAGGAACACCACATACTCTCTCCCTGCACTTCGCATGCTTGCTCACACAGGTTCAGACTGCACGGCTCCATTGATTTCGGAATACACCTAGACGAAAAACTGGTTTTAATTTATCTGATAACGAAAATATTCTGATCTCATGAATTCGCAAATCTGTCTATTATTTTTTTGCCCTACCTATTCTCTGGTAGCCTAAAAGGCTATTTCATTATTTTTTAACCTACCTATGCTGACAGCCTTGACAGGTTATTTCATATTCTCCTTTACGTGTAGGTGAGCTCACGGGGCTCAAACCGGGAGTGTTAGTAACACTGGTCCTACCAAGAGCAGTGCGTCGCATCTACCACCGGATCGGAAACGCGACCCACTGAGACGATCCGGCGAGAAACTCAGTGGGCTGTGTCTATGGGTTATTTTACTCGTCGAGTCCTTCGTTGCAAGCGACGGGTTCGGCGAGGACGGTGACCGGTGCTTGAGGTACCTAAAAGAACCGTTGATGGATCGCGAAGAGAGCTATTCAAGCTACGCCCGGATGGGTAAGTGAGTTCACGGGCTCAACCTGAGAGATCTTTACTCCTCCTTGCGTCGTATTCCTCATTGCTGAGGGTCGAGACCACCCTTTTGTATCACTTTCGCACGCATGATCTTTCTCCATCTATTCTTGTCTCTGGCGGCGTGGAGGGCGTTGTGAAACGTGGAATCAAGAGCGGTGCGGATCTGGTCTATTAAGAAAGGTAATAATGGTTTGCTGGAAAGTTCACTGTTAGCACCACAATGTGACAGCCGTCCCACTCACTACACGTGTTCGGTGTCTCAATAGTATTATTCAAGGCCTATCCCGCCCTTTGAGGAGACGCATGACTGCGTCGCGATGAAATTGTTTGTTTAATCTTTACTGACCAAAATAAACACAATGTTAGAATCGGAGCGAATCCTAAAAGCATTATATTCCGGCCCACCATATACACAGAGAAATACACAGATACCAAATACACAGAGAAAACGACTCAAATACGGCACTAAACTGAGGGAATGAAAGAAAACACTTATTAATAAAAATAAATGAATATAACGGTTTCTAAAATACGTAACACCAATATAATTCTAAAGTCTATTTAACACGTCTTAGGAGCTATTTTTGAATATGATTTGATACGTAGCTAACTTTCAGACAGTTATCAAAATTACACTTGGTTAATACTACAGGGGTGCGACCTATATTGAGTTCAGGTCTCTCGGTCACGTGGAGCAATGCTCCGATCTCTGGACGGGCTCCTAAGAACTGACTTCTTGGATTTGTCTCGATATCAAAGATCTACAAAGGAATTTTGGTTCTATTCGGTATTTCTATTCTATTGAGTTAACTTTTACGCTATCGAGAACGTTAAAAAACTCGCACTAAGCACACAGTTGTGGAGAAGCTGTTGACGATGGTTGCTTACCGTCCAGCGACGTGTTGGTGTGTATCGCAGCAGTGCAGCCTCACGCATTGTACGTCGGCGTCCCCCACGCGACACGTCTGCCGCGACCGCAACACCAGGTCAGTTGGGCATCGCGCTGTGCTGCTATCTATTCTGTAAACAATACAAGAGCTCTGAGTTCAAGTACGCTAGTAATTATGTTTAAGAATGACCTGTGTGCTTAGTACGAAATTTTTCACGTTCACGATAGTGTAAAAGTTAGCCCAATTTTGTATGCAGGTGCAACAGCGCCCCTAGCGGCAAACGTAGGCAAACGATCCCATGCCATACAAATATGAGCTAACTTTTACGCTATCGAGAACGTTAAAAATTTCGCACTAAGCACACTGTTAACAAAGGGTACTTGTGTCTTTCTTCAAACGAGGCTTCTGAAGAGTACTTAACCGTAGGTAGCAGTTTGGCTCTGCCCCTGGCATTGCTGACGTCCATGAGCAACGGTAACCACTCACCATCAGATAAGCCGTATGCCTGTCTGCCTATAGGGGAAATAAAAAAAGCGACCTCTGTGGTATGGCGTGGTTTTTTTTTCATCGACTTCAAAAAAGGAGGCGGCTCAAAACTCGAATATGTTTTTTATGTGTGCAAAAGAACTCAGACCTATTTTGATGTGTATTTTGGTGAACCGATTTTAATATTTTATTCGAAAGTTGACACTTCTCGTGTGGTGGTACCATTTAAATTTCATCAAAATCTGACCAGCGGTTTTTGAGTCATCATTAATGATGTATATCTAATTGACTTCAATTAGATTGATGACATTACTATTTTGTATAATTTGTTCAAGTTGATTATCTTTTTTGTTAGAATTTTGTATTATTGTTGGGCAATTACGATAGTTAAATTTGCTAATTGCAATCGTGTTATAAACAAAGTTTTTCACTTTATTTACTAAGAGAATTAGCGTGATGGACAATGCAACGGCGGTAGCGGGGATTTAACAATGACAGCAAAATCCGCAAAATATGACCGATCCGACTGAAGTCTTGTACACTAGTCTTAGTAGTGTTAGTTGGTGCACCGCAAGGCCACCGTCGCCCGAAAAATGTCTTGTTGGAAACCCCGAATCTACTCTCGGTACGTTAGGCTCAAGCACCGGTCACCGTTCTCGTCGAACTTGTCGATTACGATGAAGAGTTCGATGAGCGAACTAACCCATAGACACATCCCACTGAATTTCTCGCCATATCTTTTCAGCGGGTCGCGATTCCGATCCGGTGGTAGATTCTTTTTTTTTTTTCTTAGATGGGTGGACGAGCTCAGAGCCCACCTGGTGTTAAGTGGTTACTGGAGTTCACCGTGGAAGTCAATCGTGAACATTTGTTGAGTACGTATTTCTACGAAATACTGCACTTAGCTGTTAGTCTGTCAGCATATTCTTTTAGGTTGAGCTCGTGAGCTCACTAACCCATCCGTGCGTAGCTGGAATATCCCTTTAGGGTAACAGCCAGGAGGTACGGAAAAAAATAGCAAACCGAAAGAAAGTAAGAGATTTATTGTCCAAGTTGTTGTTTCTGCCTTAGACGGAAACGCGATTTTATGTCCCAATTTAAAAAAAAAACAAGCATTTGTATATGTCGATATCAGTACACTGATTATCTGAACTAGCAGGCCGCGGAGATTTTAGTACTGTCAAGTTGTTTGGAAGTATAATACATTTTCATAAAACTTAATGAATGCGATTTTTCTTAGCCGATACTGCAACCTTAATCTATATATTAATACGTGACAGCAGCGGCAGCGTAGGCGTAGGCAGCGGCTTGGCTCTGCCCCTTGCATTGTTGAAGTCCATGGGCGACCGTAACCATTCACCATCAGGTGGGCCGTTTGCTCGTCTGCCTACAAGGGCAATAAAAAAAAAACGTGAAGGAAAAGCTTTGTATCCCTTTTTACGAAAATTACGCGGACGGAGGAGTACCTACTATTTATTTATTGTCAAACTTTTGTTCTTGACGTCTGTGGTCAAATTGAGAATAGATTAAATTTTATATTGTTTGTCTTTATATTTTTCTATAGTGTAGTCTTGGCGAAATTTGTTAATAATAGTCGATTTTCGACCACCGGGCGGTCACTAGTACATTAAAATGTTTCATTAAAACATTTCATTGCATATCAAACCAAATCAAATCAAATCAAAAAAATTATTCAACATAAATGAAAGTACATACTTGTTGAACGTCAAAAGAACTACCGCCAATTCACAAGAATTAGCCTCCGTCCTGAGAAGAATTGGCAAGAAACTCAGCGGGCATGTCTTTTTTTTTTTTAAATATGAAATATATATTATTTTAAAGCTTAATAACCTTACAAATCATATAAACGGGGTTCCGACATACACGCTGGAACTATAATAAATGTTATCTATGAGTAAAACTGACGATGATTCAAAGTGTATGAGGAAACGCCGCAGATCAAAGATACATCTAGCTCAAGGTCAATCATATCCATCAACATATTTTCGGTGTCGGAAATTTGTATGATATCACAGCTCGTGTAAAGACGGCGATGATTTTTTTGTTTAAGATGTGTGGACGATCTCACAGCCCACCTGGTGCTAAGTGGTCACTGGAGTCCATAGACATCTACAACATAAATGCGCCACCCACCTTGAGATATAAGTTCTAAGATCTCAGTATAGTTAGACCGGCTGCCCCACCCTTTAAACCGAAACGCATTATTGCTTCGCGGCAGAAATAAGCAGGGCGGTGGTGCCTACTCGCGCGGACTCACAAGAGATCCTACCACCAGTAAATAAACTGTCTGGTCTGCCAGGCCAGATGACTCTTACGATGAACCGGCCAAATAAAGACAGGTCTAAACGGTCCCGTCAGCGAGTGCTAAAGAAGATTCGCAAGGAATGGCGACGTCTTGTGAAGCGCGCCACCACCCGAACTGATGACCACCACCACCACGCTGCCAAGAGTGCGAATGACTAAGAAGAATAAAGACGGCGGCTTCTAGAGTTGATGGCCAAACGTCAAACACTACTCCCACAGTTGACATGTGCATAACATAGTCAAGAACTTGACAAAGAGCTCGACGTGCAACCTAACCCATGCATCAGCTCGCTGAGTTTCTCGCCGGATCTTCTCAGCGGGTCGCGATTTCGATCCGGTAGTAGATTCATTCGCGAAGCAGAGGCGCTCGGGCAGCTGTTAGCAAATTCCACCCCTTCTGGCTGAGCCTTTGCTCGCCCACCTGTCCTGGTGAAACTGGAAAGGCCTTCGGCCCACCAGTGATCCTTTCTTCATAAAAAAATGATTTTTTCTCGCGATATATAGATATAATTAAAAGTACTTTAACGGTTTGTGGTCTCCTTCTCTCTCTCGTCCGTGACCACGTAAACTGTGAATTAATCTAAACGTAAGAAATAATTTTTAATGACAATTAAAAAAAAACCGAGATTATCTCGTCAAAATAGTTTTGATTGTGTGAACAACGTAATATTTGTTTAGCGTAATTACTTAGGTTTAGAGTATGATGCGTATCCCTGTGGATAGGAAGTAACTCTGCTTCGATATCTCAATATTAGCGGCAGTCACGGTATTGAGTTGGTTGGGGCTGAGTTAAATCTTAATCTCAGGTTGTCTATGATGAAGTTAGATTATCTCCTCCCTCCTCCTCCTCCGTGCGTCGTATTCCTCAGTGCTGAGGGTCGTGACCTTTACGGAGCACTTTTGTTATGACATGTTCTTCCATTCACTCCTGTCCTCCACGCATAAGATAGCGACATTAATGCTGGATTCCAAAGTCGTCTTAACCTGATCGGACCAGCGCATGGGACTACGCCCCCTAGGCCTCTTTCCTTCCACTTTGCCGGTGATGAGAAGTCTTTCGAGATTGTCACCCTTTTTCCTCGCAACGTGGCCGAAAAACTCTAAAAGCCTACGTAAGCAAATGGTGGAGAGTCTTGAGGAGACTTTCCAGAGATAGATAGATAATCTAGAGCGAAAAAAACATATTTTTCAAGTCAACAAGAAAACAGACTGAGAGATTTATAAGTTTACAAAATGACTGTCATCACTCTTATCTTATCGCCGAGCGTGATTCGGTAATGTACGAGTAAATCGCATTGACCCACAATTACTGTCAAGGATTGGAGATTCGATTCGCGGAAGGAACCATTCAAGGCAGCGTCGAGAAACAAACAACATTCGGTTGTATTTTTTCCGTTAAGTTCTGAAGGGTGAACGAGCTCACGACCCTCCTCGTATTCCCACAAGATGTTCAGAACCTACATATACATAGGTTTAAGAAAACTATTAAAGAACATCTGTGCACTAAAGGTTAATATAAAGTCAATGATTATCTAGAAAATTGCACAAAGTGGGAATGAGTTGCTAGCTCCGGGCATTTCAATATTGCAATAATTGTTACGTCATAATACCTCTTGTAAAAATGAATATTTAAAAAAATCTAATATTTAAAAAATAATAATTTAATATTAAAAAAAAAAGACATGCCCGCTGAGTTTCTTGCCAGTTCTTCTCAGGACGGAGGCTAGTTTTTGTGAATTGGCGGTAGTTATTTTTGACGTTCAACAAGTGTGTACTTTCATTTATGTTGAATTTTGATTTGATTTGATTAAGTGGTTATCGGAGCCCATGGGCATTAACAACCTAAATGCCGCCATCCTTTTTTTCAGGCAGGGGGCCGAACCGCATATGAGGTGTCCGCGCCTAGAAGTCGCACGGGGAAATGCCGCGGTGTGAGCTTCACAAAAGCCACAATACCAAAAAACAAGATTCAACAGCTAATGCACAGCTTACATAATAAATTTTCTTTTTAATACGCTTTTATTAGCTTCAGATGTATGTATGTTAGTATGTAACGGAATCTTTGAACATGATTTTGACCCCCTTCAAAACGTCGGATTAACTCGAAATTTTGTATACTTATTAAGGATCGATGACAATTCGATATTTAAAAAAAAATTGAAATTCAACTAAAAAATTAAAAATAAATAATAGTTTAAAAAAACAAACAAAATACGCTTTTGTTGGGGTGCATGGTATCAGTAGTTATAAATATTTTATGAACAGATATGAATGAGTAGAAGGGTTATTTTGATAATATCCTGAAAAGCACCCCACGCATTTTTTACAATAAAATAATTTTTTCTTACATTATTTTTAATTCAAATTTATTATATAACAAAAGCGTATTTGGTTACTTCTTTTAAACTATTATTTATTAACAACGTTTTTATTCCCATTTAGAAAGTAAAATAGGTTCTTTCCGGTGTCGCTAGCAGACAACACACAGAGCCAAGTTAAATAACGTGGCGGCCGTATTGCTTAGAAAGAGAGTCCTGTTCAAAACCGAATATGTTATATAATATGTAATATATATGTGTATGTAATAGTTTCGCGACAGAAATACACAGGTTGCCGTAATGACCGGCGCCGCACGTCGAGCCCTACAAGCTGCTTATTAATAAACGGGTTTAATTTTAAAACATCCGCGAGAAACGAAATTATGGCGATTTTAGTACGCGTATTCAGAGAAAACTCATAAATCCTGTTAAACCTAGTATTTCAATGGTCCTGGTAGTTCCAGTGGCACTAATGTTGGGGTGTGTAATGAGAGTGTATTATCAACATTCGAAGTCGTCGTGGCGTAAAAGATAAGACGTCCGGTGCATTCGTATCGATCGATGCGACTATCCCGGTGTTCGAATCCCGGCAGGCTGTTAGCTATTTTTCTAATGAAACACGTAATTAACACAAGTTCTCGAATGACTTCGACGATGACGTTTTTTTTTCCTACCTATGCTGATAGCCTTAAGAGGCTATTTCAGCTTCGCCCTAACGTGTGTAGGTAAGCTCACGGGGCTCAAACCGGAGTGTTGATAACACTGACCCTAGGAAGAGCAGTGCTTCGCAGAATCGACTACCCACTGAGAAGATCCGGCAAGAAACTCAGTGGGCGACGGTGACGGAATAACATAGTGTTATAAAAATTAAACCGCTCGAAAATTATAATTGGCTTATTTATGGGTAGGGTGACTTATGAGCACGCAATTTTAGGTACCACAATCCTTTTTTTTGCCGCAAATGGTGGAGCTGCCGTTGTGCTATACAGCTCATTGGAGCTCATGACTCATGGTCGGTGGCAGAATTCACGTTGTTGATGTCTATGGGCTCCAGTAACCATTTAACCACAGACGGGCCGGGAGCTTGGCCACCTATATAAATAAAAATAAAACTTCGAATTTATTTTTTATTGCTTAGGTGGGTGGACGAGCTCACAGCCCACCTAGTGTTAAGTGGTTACTAGAGCCCATAAACATCTTCTACGTAAATGCGTCATCCACCTTGAAATATAAGTTCTAAGATCTTATACTTACAACGGCTGCCCTACCCTTCAGACTCAAACGCATTACTGCTTCACGGCAGAAATAGGCGGGGCGGTGGTACCTACCCGCGCGGACTCACGAGAGGTCCTACCACCAGTAAGCAATAGACTTGAAACCTTTACCACGTGGTTCCTGTAGTCAGTTAAATGAATTGTGATAGACGCTTATCAGCGCAGTGAACTAAAGTGTTACACTAAGTGGCCGCGCGGGCTTACTGCGTCCTACAATCTTAATTTATTTGTGGTTCAACAAGGAAGCGTTCGTAAATGATTTATGCGTTTATTTAATAGGTCGCGCGTCTCCCATGATTTTAGTAATTGCTAACACGTCAGTCAGCAATTAGAGTAATTGTTGGACAGCCATAACTTTTATCGTTAAGAGAAATAGACTAGTGTTGTTGATAAAATCGAGATGAGCACTGGATGTCGACTGATTATATCGCATCCCGTTGATTATGTCAACGCGGTCACTTCGAGACATGTATGACCGCTCGGGAAAGGCTATTTGGTTTAAGCGACTTTTTTTTTATTTCCATTGTAGGCAGACGAGCATACGGCCCACCTGATGGTGAGTGGTTACCATCGCCCATGGACTTCAGCAATGCCAGGGGCAGAGCCAAGCCGCTGCCTACCGCTTAATACGCGACATTTATCTTTGTAATTAAAGGTGCGTTTTATTTAGTAATTAGTATCAACAAATTCGATGTTTTTAATTTAATTTCAATTAAGTTTACCCCATTCAAATAGATGAAGAACGCTCTCCTGTGAAGTTGAAAAAATGTATTTAACCAAAAAGCCTTTCACCCCTCGATATGATACGATAAGATATACCATATACACGATATGAATAAATAGTCTCCCACTCATCAGGCCACAACATGGTGTCATTTGGTTAGCCGTAAACTTTAATCATGAAATGGGAATCTACTTAATTACAGGTGCTATAAGATAGAAAGGGACACTACAAAATATATTCAAAGTGTACAAAACGGTCTAAGATAATTTTCTTCTATACTGAAAAACGAAATACAAGTTAAAATTGAGACCGCAAAAGTATGTTTTATATAATATGATGTAAGCTTAAGAGTAATTGATGCTGCATTAATTATAATGAACAACTAAAGTGCATCAGAGATGTAAATAATGCGATCTTTCATCTATGTTAAGTACTCGCGTTCATTTCTTGGAAGCCACTTCAAAGAGTTCTCTTTAATGAGTAGGTAATGTTTGTTCGTCCTCGTTTTGCCTTATAATAATAATAAATAGCCTTTATCAATCTTTTATGTTATTAAGTTACCGTGAGTTGCTGGTGGTGGTAGGAAGTCTTGTGAGTCCGCACGGGTAGGTACCACCACCCTGCCTATTTCTGCCGTGAAGCAGTAATGTTTGAAGGGTGGGGCAGCCATTGTATTGTTAAAACTGAGACCTTACAACTCATGTCTCGAGATTAGTGGCGGTATTTACGTTGTAGATGTCTATGGGCTCCAGTAATCACTTAACACTAAGTGTGAGCTCGTCCACCCATCTAAGCAATAAAAAAAGTGTTATTCACCCTATTTCAGGTGTCAATTTGTTTGATTATCGATTTGGTTCCGATATAAATAAATTCTCCTTAATTGAGCCATAAGATTGAATCACTCAAGTACACTTATAATTGCCTAACTCTTCAAAATGGAACACACGAGTGTTTCGCGGCAGAAATAGAATATACCTGACATGGGTACGCAGTGGTTAGTGCCATTCACGGAATACTCTTAAAAAAAGTTTCGAATAAATTTAGCACAGTATGCAAGTGTCGAAGAATACCATTTTTTTCCTACCTTTTTTTTATGATTGAAGGATTACTGGTGGCCCGGAGGCCTTTCCAGTTTCACCAGGACAGGTGGGCGAACAAAGGCTCAGCCAAGAGGAGTGGTATTTGCTAACAGCCACCCGAGCGCTTCCGAAGGAGACCTAACAGCTCAAGAGTAGCTGCTTCGCGAATGAATCTACTACCGGATCGGAATCGCGACCCGCTGAGAAAATCCGGCGAGAAACTCAGCGAGCTGATTCATGGGTTTTCCTACCTATGACGAAGATCAGGCGAGAAACTCAGTCGGCTGTGTCTATGGGTGAAATACCACCTTAATCGTGCATAACCACGAAAATTGTAAAGTAGTTTTAACTATGTTCCTTCTAACATCCCATATACCCTTTGAATTACAAAACCAATTTTTTTTAAGGCGATTATAAAACGTTACTGAAAATATGTTGTGATTTTGTAATAAGAACAAGTTAGCTATTAATGCCGTTAGCAGCGATTTGACTTTGCCCGTGACATGTTGACGACCGTCAGTGACCACTCACCATAAAATGGTCCTTTTGCTTGTTCGTCTGTTTGCAAAGGCAATCAAAAGAATTATAAGTACATTAAATTTCACATAAACTAAAGCAATGTCTTAACGTAAATTATTGCTTCGTGTGACAGTAATTGTGAATGAAAATTTCTATAACAATATATTATAATTTCGATAACAATATCGATAATAATAACGATAATAATATCGATAGTAATATATTATCATTTATAGTAAGATAGCGACCCGCCCTCGCTTCGCTTCGGAAACTGTAATTTATTATTGATTTCTCCACTATTTAATGGATGTTATTATACATATAATCCTTCCTCTTCAATCGCTCTATTAATTAATCTAATAAATCTATTAAAAAAAACCGCATCAAAATCCGTTGCGTAGTTTTAAAGATTTAAGCATGCATAGGGATACAGGGACAGAAAAAGCGGCTTTGTTTTATACTATGTAGTGATTATAATCACGAATGTAGATAATTTTTCTGAATGAGGTTAGTGGGTAAATGTTATGGTGCATTGTACCCCGGTGGGATGCAGTCGTTGAACTCATGCAGTTTTGTGTCCATCGTTCTCATTGTTTAAATTCAATTTACTGATAATGGGATCCTGTGGTAATGATTTCGTTACACACAGACTATACGCTAATGTGTTTTTTTTGTTTCATTTTCCTCGTGATATTAAAGAGTTTTTTTTTATATTATTACGATCCTTAGTAGTATAGTTTCTTTTTAATTTGATTCATGAGGAAAGCGCTAGGAAATTCACAAGTAACACTCGCTTTAGAATAAAAATAATTAATTTTAAATCACTTACTGCACTGATGCTGTAATTCGGATTGGGTAATTTAATAATTACAAGGGACTCACACGTCAATGGTGTCAGTGAGGTGCGGTTCCTCCGCTCTGTATCCGCTGTCGTCGTGGTAGCAGAGTACCAGGGCAGCAGGATAGAGGAGAAGTAACACAAAGGCCACGGGGCCCAACGGCGGGCGCATCTCGACTGCGGGTCGCGCGCCCGCGGATATGCGTTTCAACAACGCTACTCAAACTTTTCAATATAAGTTGCGCTTCTATATTCGCGTTTTATTTATCACTTACTTCATTACGTTATAATGAAGCCGCTGTGTGTCGTGTCGATTAATTTTTACGATACGTAGATGTCTTATTCGGAGATGGAAATGTACGAAAATTAATTTAGATCGATATTCCTGTCCTAATGGAAAATCGATATCGATATTCTTGTCGAATTACTTTTGTATAAAGCCTCTTTGTTTGTTCGTATTCGATGTGATCGTCGGCGTTTATCTAATCGATTTGTACTGGGCAGAAGTTAGATGTTTGATTAAATGTTTATAAAGAAAAAAAGGAGTCAAACGATTCAACGTCCGACAAGATCCAACGATTTCGTAATGTATGTTTTAGTAGCGCAACCACAGATATAAGAATCACACATCATTAATAACAAATATACGGCGGCGGGCACAATATCAGTACTTATGTAGTCACTGTCACCGATGAAGCGATAAAATCGTGTTATTCGAACAATCGTAGCAGTGCTTATCAAAATTAGACCTTAAATAAGAGACTGTATTTACTGACACCGAATGAACTCAGCGGTTCCCGTTGCGTCATCAATACAAGTGCTGATTTACAACAAACACGCTTCTTGTTCGTATTAAACGGTGCGACAATTATCATTATAGTTATGTAGGTTTTGCTACGGTAGTTCTTTTCCCTACCTATTCGCTGGTAGACTAAAAGGCTATGCCAACTACGCCCAGACGTGTGGGTGAGCTCACGGGCTCAACTTGGGAGGATTTGATAACACTAGCCCTAGTAGGGAGCAGTTTATGTCGATGCTTTTGTTTGAAAAGAGGTTTAGGTTTTTTTTTCTACCTAAGCTGGTAGCCTTGAGAGGCTATGCCAGCGTAACCTAACGAGTAGGTGAGCTCACGGGGCTCGAACAGTGCGTCGCCGAATCTACCACAGGTATTGTACGGTAATGCCGCACGTGTGCTATGGGAGTTCTTTTTGTTCCACGCAGTATGTAGTCATTTTCCATTCAGGCCTTCCACACAGTCCGTCAGTCTTTTTATGACGCCCCCTCCTCATTAAGCTCACGTCAGAATTTGTGACCATCTTTTCTGATACACCTACTGGGATATGGAGATTTCGGATCTAGTAACAGAACACACCGTTATAGTTTTATGTTTTAAAAATATGAAACAGAACATCGTGATTTTAAAATTTGAGAAGCGTTTACCTACTAAGATAGTAAAATAGTACAGAAATAGACGAGAGATGCGTCCTCGTCCAAATATAATATGATGTTTCGGTCGTCACGAACGTCCTCCTGGATTTACGATCGACTAAGGTGACCACGATATTTTATAATTGTTGGACAAATTATTACATTTTCATTAGTTTAACGTTTAATGATGAATCAAATTTACTATGAACCTTCCATTACTTTCGGACCACCAATTTCTGTTATATCCTACCGTAAAAATCATAACTTATTTACTTTATGTGGGCAATGCATAATGTCGGAGATATCTTATAATCTGAGCCGGCAAAGTCGGTACATTAGTGAGTTAGTTGGGTCGGAAATATCTTTTATAATATTAATATGTAGTACATCCCTAATAAGCCCACCGCATGTTACTGGTGAGCACTTTCCAACTTTTTTTAATTTTATTTTTATTGCTTAAATGGGTGGATGAGCTCACAGCCCACTTGGTGTTAAATGGTTACTGGAGCCCACAGACATCTACAACGTAAACGCCGCCACCCACCTTAAGATTTGGGTTCTAAGGGTCTCAGTATAGTTACAACGGCTGCCCCAGCCTTCAAACCGAAACGCATTACTGCTTCACGGCAGAAATAAGCAGGGTGGTGGTACCTACCCGTGCAGACTCACAGAAGGTCCTACCACCAACTGCTTAAATATATAAATTATAAAAACTCACGTCTTCGTAATTTGGAATTTCTTTATTAAATGGCACTTTATGGATACCCTAATGAGTACCGAACCACAAGACACCAAGAGCACCAAAGTCAAACTTCACACGAGCGCATTCGGACAACGCACACATAGACGTTGCTTACGTGGACATAATCTTGGAACGCGCTGGAATTGTATAATGAAGCAACGGAATAAGTAAAAAAAAAGGAGTTTAGATTCGATTTTAAATTCACTTGAATTATTTTTTAGTTCGGGTATCTCGCATGATTTAATAAGGCACAGAGCGATTTACGTTCTGATGACTCTTATGTCGTTTTAAAAGTAAATATATTAGCCCTTTACAAGGCAAAAAAAGGAACATTATTTATAAAAAAATTGAGATGGAATGATTAATTTCAGATGGCCACGAGACATGGACGACGACAAGATATCAACTATCGTTTTTTTTCTCATATATCCACAGAATTGTTAACCTATTTTAAGCTCAAAATTCTTGAAATGTTTCTTATAATTCGCTTTGAATTATTTTCAAATTGACAAGTCACTTTGTTTCGTAAGAGAATATTTGCTATAAAAAACATTTAAGGCGCATATGTTTCAAAGCAAAATCGAAACTACTGGAATTTTCCCAATCGTTCGAATCTATTTAATTGGCCGTATACTTAACCAAAGATATTGACATTGCTGATGTCCAAAGTCGAGGATAGCTACCTCAGTAACAATATAACGGTGAATACAGTGTTCGACGATTGTGTTTAAAATGGATCAACTCAATTCTCAGATATCATGGTTAATGTAAACCAAAACTCCCAATAAACTCAGTGTTTAGTTAAAAATGGAACGCAAAAAAAGATATTGAGAGAATACCTAATAACGTGAATCTTATTAAACAAAGGATCAACATTAATCTAAGTTTTGTAAACTTTTACGTTGAGTTTTTTGGTCAATTTAAATAATGCTTCATTGAGGCTCCGTTGATTTTGTAGAAAACAGAGATGAAGTAGACAGAAAGACAAACAATGGGATATTAAGGGCATAATAATATACAAACTAATGAATATTATTGTAAGTCTTAGAGGGAGAGAGAAAGAGAGAGAGAGAGAATACCCTTTTTTTTATTGCCCTTGTAGGCAGACGAGCATACGGCCCACCTGATGGTGAGTGGTTACCGTCGCCCATGGACTTCGGCAATGCCAGGGGCAGAGCCAAGCCGCTGCCTACCGTTAAAAAACCAAAACACAATTTACATTCAAAAACAGTCAACAAGTAGATACATTTGTACAATAGGCGGTCTTAACCGTTTAATTTACAGAAATTCTGGAAAAGACAAAGATATAGCAGGAATGTTGCGGTGTACTATTGGAAATACATTATTATAGAAAATATATACATACAATAAATAGATATGTCTTAAATATTTCATAACGGAAAGTCTGGAAGTTAGGCCAGTGACAGTGAAAATAAAGATTGGAAGGTAATTTGTGTGGCCAAAAAGAACTGTATAAAAGTAGATGGTAATGTGGGGAGGAGGCGTTAGAAAAAGAATTGGATTGACGGTTTAAAAGAAGATATGTGAGAGAGGAGTGTCTATGCAGAGATGACGTATGATAGGCCTAAAAGGAAAACAGGACATGCTGACACCACATACGGACGAGATACGGACGGATAAGGACGAGAAGATTTATTATCCTTAGGGCATACGATTATGCACCAACATCCTGCCTATTTCTATCTAAATTGCTGTTATGCAATAGAATTGAGACTCTGCCTCGTGTTTCAACCAGGGTGGCGGCATTCACGTTGTGATGTCTATGGACTACGGTAACCAACTACAGATACGCGGTGCGAACGTTCAAATGTCTACGGAAATAAAAAGTGAACCAATTCTATTGTGCAATGAATAAACCTACATATGCGATGTTATAAATTTCTTGTCAATATCTGCGGCGAAAAATAACACATCTTCCTGTCTGAAGGACTATAACTGCTATTACAATCGGTCGCCGTTCTCTCCAAGCCGTCGCTTGCGACGTAGGGCTCGACGAGTAAATTAACCCAAAGACAAAGCCCACTGAGTTTCTCGCCGGATCTTCTCAGTGGGACGCGTTTCCGATCTGGCAGTAGATTCTGCGAAGCACTGCTCTGGCTAGGGCCAGTGCTAGCATCACTCCGGTTTGAGCCCCGTGAGCTCACCTACACGTCAAGGAGAAGCTGAAATAGCCTCTCAAGGCTATCAGCATAGGTAGAAAAAAAAAGATTACAATGAAACTGAGATTTACCGAAGACCCGTTTCATATAACAGTTCTATTCCCCGCAAAAAAAAAATTATTGCTTAGATTGGTCAATGAGCCTACGGCTTACTGGGTGCTAAGTGGTCACCAGTGCCCACAGACACCAATAATGCATATGCCGTCGCCTACCTTGAGACATGAGTTCTAGATTCTCCGTTTCTACAATATCGCAGCTGCCCCGCCCTTTAAAATGAAAAATAGGCAGGGCCATCGTTCCCACCGATGCGGCCTCACAAAACTCACAAGAAGTCCTACCATTAGTAATTTCGCAAATTAAAATATGGCGGATTTAATTTATATTAGACGATGTTAATCCTTCACCGTCGAAAAATAGCGTAAACATTTGTTAAGTACGTATTTAATTAGAAAAAAATTGTATCTGCCTGCGGGATTCGAACATCGGCTCAATTGCACGTTTGATACTAAGGCGTCTTAACTTTTAGGCCACGACAACTTCCCTCTCTAAAGAACGCATCGCATATTTATTCCTAAGCATTGTTAGTGGCAGCGAGGTCATAAAAAGTGCACCAGACCTGCCGCGAGTTAACAAAAACAGGCACCCGGATGTTTTTGTGAACAAAAAAAACCTTAGAACAAAACGAAGCAACCATACTAAAACTAGTTTATAATTACTTACTTACTTAATTGGTTACGCGCTTGTTTTGCGTTGATGATTTTAGAACCGTAATAATGCATATTTTGACTGATATGGTCTTATTTTTACTTCAAGAGTACATGGGACTGGTCTTTTTTTTCCTACCTAAGCTGAGA